GCACATCTTGGCAGATGCAGCTCTAAAAGCTGATCCCAAATATGTTTCTCATTCTCTGCGAAATATTGCCTTGAAAGTGAGCATAAAGCTTTGAAGTTGCGAACATATTTTCTCCGGCAGTGGCATGCACGAAATGTAGAAAATGCGCTCCAACTTTGGGTAAAACAGCTGCAAAAGCTGGGTATCATTAATAACAACGATTCTATCAGCTTTTGGGTTATGTTTTTTTTTGTTTAAAGAGTTCTTAGACCTTCGCTTGCTCGTAACGTTGTTTTCGACAGAGAAACACATAATTTCAAAACAAAAAACGCTTCTCGAATTTGGGAGGCAGATTTGGAATCAGATGTGAGCTGCATCTACCATTTCGTGTCTCTTTTCAGGTCATCACCGCTTTGACTAAATATCCTTTTGATGAATGACATAATACTGTCAATTAAACGATGTTTGTCTTATCAGAAAATCACCTTTCCAGAGGATACTTTATGGTGTCCGGAAAGTGGGCGTTAGAGCAAACACCGGCATCTACCCCGACTTTGGAAACCATACTGTAGTCTTAGTGTAGGTTTTTATTTGTGGTTTTGTTCAAATGCAGATCAGGCTTGCGATGCTAACAGCAAAAATTGTAGAAATAATGAAACGGAAGGACTCGATGGCATTTGCTTCAACATTTCGGATGAGAAGTGGATGACAAATGGAGCCCAGCTCGATATGTTGGCCAGGATTGGAAGTGTTAGTACTTTCTTAATTTGATCCATAGTTCTGTTTTCTATTTTTTCTGCTTGTGCATATATGAAAACCTTGGAGTACGACAAGCTATATTAATTTTGAGGAATAATGATTATGTATAAAGCGTAGCCTGTTGAAACAGTATTAAGAAAGCAGTTTTTCTTAGCGACTATGAAAAGTCCGGTTTGCGCATTAGGAGGTGTTTATGCTAAAGTCTGTATTTGTTGATGTACAGAAGGTTTTGGGAAGTAGAAGTAGAGTAACGTTAGATCTGGAGTTATGCTTTCCTTGTTTGTTCGCAATCATGAAAAGAAATCAGCGGAGGTGAAAATTACTTGTTTTCAGCAAACGTAAGGTTTTGCAACTTTTCTTAGTCATTTCATCGCTGGTTTCTGTTTTTTATTCTGTCGAAGGCTCATAAAATTCTAAGTTTTTCTGTTGATTTAAGAAACTTTGTTCGCTGGGCCCCATTGGCCTGATCAATTTTGGTGTAAGCGACGAACATGTTGAATTTGATTGGACTGCTGTGGAAAAAGTGATGGATGCAAGGTTTAAGCGCAAGACAGAGCTGTTAAAATCATCAGAGCTAACTGTTTGGTGAGCATCTCATTACAGGATGATTGTAAGGTAGAGCATGATAAAAATTCAGGTACCATCACAAGAAAGCCAGCGATTTAGATGAGTTACCAACAACGGCGCGTGAAAGCCCTTCATCGGATAAGGAAAATCGTAGC